TTTGGTTCCCAGCAGCCACGTAGTTGCTTACAACCTTCTGTAACTCCAGTGTTAAGGGATCCAGTGCCCTCCTCTGGTTTGCCAGGCATCAGACACACACTTGGTGCACACCTGCCTTGCTCACGCAAGCAAACACTCATGCAAGTAAAATAAAAATAAGTAAAATTATCTTTTGTTGTTGTAGTTTTGGAGACAGTGTTTCACGATGTAGCTCTGGCTGTCCTAGAACTCACTATGTAGACCAGGCTAGCCTCGAACTCACAGAAATGCCTCTGCCACCTGAGTAAAGATGTGTGCCACTACACCTGACAAGTAAATTATTTTTTTAAAAAGATCTTTCTGTATGAGTTCTTAAAGGTCCATAGCTTGGATGTGATCAGGTCAAAACAAAAAAAGGTATCAGCACTGAGGAGGAATGGACAGGTTGAATGAGTTTAAATTCTGATTTTTTAAAGGAAACTTTCTGATTGGTATTTAAATTTTTCATCAGGTGCACATCAATGTGCTGATTTCCACTGAGTTTCTTCATTATCCTAATATAGCTCTGAAAGGGAAGGAAACACAACTGTCCAAGAAACAAAAGCTAGAGAGAGGAATAGCAAAGCTCCTTAGTCTTACAGAGGCTTCCCACGATGTACTTGGCATCATACGATGTAGTAAGGGACTTGGGGTCTGGATTATCCTGTCAATAATGGGGTACCTTATCATCTAAATTAAGGTAGAGGTGGGTGTAGACAGAGCCAGGAAAAGATCTGAGGCAGATGTTTAATGAGAAATGTGAGTTCATCTCTCTTATTGGTTTTGGATTTTGCTCCAATCGATTCCTTCTCATTAATACAATGCTTGGTTATTTTTAAAATGTCATCTTCCCAACAAAAAGCTGTATTTGGCCTTTGATTTAATTATCTAAGTCTTAACCCCATGTCTACAGCAATGTAGACACCCATTAGAAGTGAAAATCCTTGGGACCTAACCCAGAAACATCAGAAACTGTGGGAAGACAGCCCATTGATGTGGGCTCTAACAAGCCCGGTGGGATTAGTCTGTTGCTCATCAAAGACTGAAGGCCAGGCTTTCAACCAAACCACAGGTGTGTGAGTCAGAGCCCATGGATCTGCAGGTTCAACAGGCAGTCTTAAAAGAAAGTCAGCCTCCTTAGGCAAGCTTGGATTCTAAAGCTTATCAATAATTGGAATCATCCTTACTCAGACAACCAGTCCTATCGATTACCCTGTTGAAGAGCCATTTACATCTTATTTTTACCTCTGCCCCAATAGGAAAAAGTGAATAGCATGCAGAATGGAGTGCTCAAGGCGCAGGCCATGAAGACCAAGGAGACAGTTGACGGAAACACAGGAACTTTGACTTTGATGGCAGAGACTGACCGTAAGGTAGTTAATAGCAACAGAACTGTCTTGTTCACTGTTTGGTGCCTTTCACCTCCTTCCTTTTCCCTTCACACTCCCTCTTCTGTAACCCCGCCCACCTACCGCTCTCACTAGATACATACCTTTGAGCTAACTCTGGATGAAAAAAGGTAATTGGTTTTTTCTCTCTTTCTTTCTTTCTTTCTTTCTTTCTTTGTTTTTCAATGAGGAATTACATATGGCTACTGAACACTATTTACAACCTGGAGCCTTTAGCATCCTTCCTAGAGGCAGACTTGGTCCTACAAACAGACTAAGAGATATTTAAGCTCCTCCTATGTAGCCTGTAACACCAGATCTCATTCATACAAGGCATTGCAAGTGTGAAGGTCCGAACAATGAACTGCAGCAGGACAGCACACCAGCCAACACCAGCTCCAACACCCAATGAGAACTGGACATGTTATCTTACCTCTGTAAGCTCGAGTCGCTGTATTTCTAAACTGAGGGCAATAGAAGTCTCTCTCCTAGGATTCTTAATGAAGATTAAATGCAACCATCCACCCAAAGCATTTAGAACTGTGCCTGGCACATATCAAGGGCTGGGTTAATGTGAGTTATTAAGACTATTAATGCCTCTGAAATGTTTCTCAGGCTTCAGCACACCGTGAGTACTTTGCAGGCATCGATGTTAAGCAGAGAAAATCCAGAAGGGATAAAGGAGAAGGCATGAGGGTATCAGACTTGAGACAGGGTGGGAAGGCTGTTCTCTGTAGCAAGTGTTTGGCTGTAGAGTGGTGCTGTGGAAGACTCCCAGGCTGGAGTGTGAATTATAGTGGTGATTGTCAACTGGAGTGTGGGAAGACTTTGTCTTCCCACAGTTAGCAGTGCTTGCGTTTGTATTTGGTTGTTGTAACTCTGGGGTGCTATTAATGGATACTAGGGATATTGTTGAATACCCGATAATGCATAGGACAAGAGTCATTTGCCCCAAATGCCACTGCTATTGAGGCTGAGAAAACCTGAATTCTAATGTAACATGATGTTATCTTAATAAGGTAGACATAGACTCTGGTACCTCATGAAGAGAAAAGCAAAGTGGCCTTTAAAACCCTTCTGCTGCTAATGGTGTTGGCACTTAGTCCTCAGCCTCAAACTGAAGACAACATCTCTTTTCCTCTGTACCCACATCTTCTCCCAAAAATCAAACAATATTTTTTTTCAAACAAAGGTTACACATTTTTATAGGTTCACCTGAGACACTAGGAAGACTCATTCTTGCTGACATGGTGGCAATTGGAGTGTTTCAGTGCCGAGAGAACCCTTCAAAATGAGCTAGGGACAAGTCTCTCCTTGAAATCGTTTGTTTCCACTTTTACAAGTAAAGAAACTAAGACGGAGGGGGACAGAAACCTGAGCTAAGTCACACCATGTGACACTCCTCAAGAATTAATAGAAGGTTTTAGTTGGACATACATGATCACAAGAATCGCATCTTCCCGACATTTGTTCTCTTGCCTTGAATTTTCCTCATAATCAGAGTCTGTCTCTCTTCCCATCTTCGGAAAGTCCCTAAGCACTGGTTTCACCTGATAGAGGTGGCCGTGGTGAGAGTACAACGGGGGAAACTGGGTCCGAGAAAACAGACAAACTGCCAGTGGACTAAGATTGCCAGTTCCTGGAGAAAGGAAAGGTGACCTCAGTACCTCGTTTAGACGACTTAGGGGATGCTGCCTCAGCACCATGGGAAATCAAGGGTACCTGCTGGGATGCTGTGTTGCTTGTGACAACGGCAGGTGTTGCCTTCAGTCTGTGACTACAGGGAAAGAAGTGTGAGGATGAGTGGGATCGGGGTGAGGGTGGTGAGTTTGTTGGCCTAAGAAATCACATTAAAAGTAAAACCCAGGAAACTTGGGGGAACCAGGCACGTTATTGTTGTGGGGTTCTGGGACCCCTACCTGCTCAGAAAAGAGGGACTAAAGGTGCGGGGTAACTTCCCTGTGGTCTAGATCTCCTAAAGTTTAGACACCAACCGTGACTCTACCACATGAAAATAATTCTAACAAAGATATTCCCCACAAGAGGAAATGATGAAAACCCAACAGAGAGATTAGAACAAGGATGGATGCATGAGGAAACTAAGGGAAACATCTAAAAGTTACTTGGGAATGTTGCAACATCTGGTTAGTCTCTGTAATTTTTTTCTGTACAAACGTATTTCCTAGATGGGACCTGCTTCTTGGAACTCTGGGGGTCTTGTCTTTTCTCTGACTTTTTCCTTGATTCTCAAGCAACAACCACATCCATCACCAATGTTGTTTTCCTTCCCTACCTGTGCTCACAAGAAACAGTAAGCAACCTCTCCTCCAATGGTCACTGCTGATGAAATCTCCCAGGACCAGACAAACATCTATCAGCAATCACAAGCCATGGCCACCAACAGCTAAAAGAAAACCTGAAGAATCCATCCCAACAATATGAAGACCAAAAGGGCAAACGTTCACCAGTGTCCCCCTCACCGGAACACACTTTCAATTCACGTCAAATCTGTTCCTTAAGAAGCATTTTGTGTTGTTTTCATGGGTCAGGTGGAAAGTCGCCCAGATTTTCTCTTAATATTGAACTCTAAGAAGCCAAGCACTTGCCATGACTTCTTCACCTTTGCCAATTACCATTCCCCTGAATCAACAGTCACTTCTTTCAAGAGCAGCCAGCAGTGTGCCAGGGGCAAGGTGCAAGCCTGGACAAGAAGCATGTTCAGTTGAGACTGGATTCTACGAAAGGCAATAGCCAGGATGGCCCCTAGTACCGTCAGTGACTGAGACATCCCCATGCAGCAAGGAATAGCCACACACTCATGCTACTACACACGCTTGCTGCTTATACACACAAGAACAGGTATCTCATTACACACAGAGGGAACACTCAGTCACACACTCACAATCATCTACAGTCTACCGAAGCATCATACATCAAATTACACACCAATAAAGATACACAACATAAGCTTCTTCCCCTCTTCCTTTCTCCCTCTCCTTCCTCCCTCTTTCTCTCTCTCCCCCTTTTCTTCTCTCTCTTTCTCTCTCCTCTTCCCCTCTCCTCTTTACGTACAACCTCATATAGTCAGTGAACACACATGCAGTCTCACAAGTACTTACCTACACAAGTGCGGGAGGGCAGCTGTTCAACCTTCAGTGGTCCCAAGCTGCAGACAGGTCCTACCCAGACAGACAGTCCACCCACCCACACCAACACACAGCCCATCCCTGCGACAAAGGCTGGTGGGTGTCGGAAGTACAGAACCCAGAATCCCCCCCCCCCCCAACCCCGGCATCCCGCCCCGCCCCCTCTCGGCATCCCCACCTGCACACGTGGGCTCCTGGGGTTCTGATCTCCTGGCGCACTCTCAGCAACACGCGGCTGCGGAAGGCTAAGGAGAGCGGCGCCCTGGCAGATTGTTGCGGCTACCTTTAGCGCAGAGCCCAGCTTCTGCCGCTTCTGTGCTGCGCTGCGCTCCCCGCCACTGCCTGCGCCCTCGCCGCCGCCCCCTAGATGCGGGCTTCAGCCCCCGCGCTGGGGAGCGGGCGGGCGCCTGGCACCAGTTGCAGGCTGGAGACTCCAGCCTGGGCTCACCTGGGCATGCAGAGCATCCTCCTCCTCCTAGCTGAGCCGGGCTCCGTGGGTTCCACAGCCCCCAGCCTGGGCGTCCCTGCGGTCCTGCTCGCTGCCGCCCCCACAGGGCACGCGGAGTGCCACCTGTGCAGAGGGGCGCCCTGAGGAGTGGGTGCAGAGGCTGCACAGATCTCACACCTCTGGTCTGGCCAGAGTGTGCTTCCCTGACCAGAACCGTACCCATTCGCTGGGGACAGAGGGAGAGCGCGAGCGAGCCCTGGCCTCACTGCAGACTCCTGGGTGACCTTGGGCAAATCCGTTCACCTTTTTTGAGTGCCCACTTCCTCTATTCAGAGACAATAAACTCGAGAATGCGTCTGAGGTGCCTGTGCCAGGGGCAATCCTTCCTTGGTGCAGCCTACTTCCTTCTTCTTATGGCTGACTCAGCCTGGCCCAGAGCAAGGCTTGTCTGGGAGCGGCATTCAGGAGAATTCGGGGCGCTTTGGAAACAGGATGGCAAGTTCTCCAGAGCTAATGCTTTCGTTTGTCTCAGGGCTCCCTAAAGGATCAGCCTCACCTTGTTAGTCCACTCTTTGCCTCCCTGTCTGAAGTTTCCAGGGTTTCCCAGCTCTAACCACCTGTCACCTTGACCATGTGACTAGATCAGAGCCAGCTTCAGGGCTCTCTCATAGAAAAGAGGGAGCAACCAGACAGTAGTGTGAAGGGTCTCCAAAGATCTAGGCCTGGGTACTCAGGGATCTGAAGTATCTGTGAGGGACTATGGCAGAGCAAAATCCATCTGACCAAAGCCTCCAATGACAAGGATGAAACGGGCGATGCTTTAAATGAGAAGACGTTGCTAGGAGAGTTGCGAGAATGCAGGGTCTTTGTTGCCTGGATCAGAGAAAGACCGCAAGACCATGGGGTGAAGAACTCACCCTCAAGTACCACCGAGGCTGCCTGGAAAGCCTGCCAGACAGAGAATTAACTTCTGTGAGCAAAGAAATCTTCCAAGACAGTCTTAAAAATCATTAACCTGCAATTGGGCCGGAACAAACTGAAGTGAGCCAGGAGTTTGCCCTGGATGGTTTGTATTCGGTGCTGAGGATTGAACCCAAGGCCTCACATATCCTAGGCTAGTCCCCTGCTGTCTTGTCCTGTTATTTGATTGTCTCCTTAGTTTGGAGACAGGACCCAGGCTGCAACCTGAGGTACTCCTGTTTTAGCCGCCGGAGTGCTGGGATTACAGGCACCACCCCCGTGCTTATGCTTGGCTGAAAAGTTTAAATTGATCAACATTTTCACCAAAAAGTTCTGTTTGTCTTCCTCCTGGCCTAGATCCCTTCCCCTCAGGACAATAAGATCCCTTTTGAAGATGAAAAAAAAAAAAAAAAAAAAAAAGACAGAACTTGGATGAATGTTGAAGGCAGGGCTGATCCTTGTCCCAAATCTAGAAAGGACGGCAACCCTGCAGAAACCTCGATATTAACACAGTGAGAGCTGGGTCATATTATAATCCAGCCAACTGTGAGGTGACACATGTCCTAAGCCATTAAGTAATTTATTGCTGTGATGGATAATTTTTACAACGTTTGTCCCTTTAGAGTCACACCCACGTCTTTCTGGTGATTAACAGGATTCTCGTGGTGCAGACAGCCAGCTGCTTTGCTACACCCCAACCCTGTTGTGTTTCAATCAGCCTTCTCCACGCCAATGTCACATACCCTATCCCTTTTCCCTCTAGAATGTCTATGAAAGGATGAAGCTTGGGAAGAAATAGACGCAGGTGCAGAGGTGTCTCAAGCATGACAAGTGGTTCCAATGCAAGAGGGGCTAGATGAGGAGACGGAGACATACAAAAGCTGTGGGCTGTCTCCAGCCAGAAAACAACCTCTCAGGACCAGTCTTCTCAAAAAAAAAAAAAAAAAAAAAAAGTGAGCAGAATTGAGAAAGAAGGAGTGAGACCTCATCAAGCCAAGACAACATGTTTGTAATAACTTCTCTTGCCAGCACTTGGGTTAATCCAGCAGTGTTCAGGGGCTGAGAAGCCAGCTGCCCGAAGTAGAGAACTGAGACAATAAAGCTATTATAGGCCAGATAAGAACACCGTGACTCCTTCTGGTGTGGTTTTTATTCTCTAGTCGGCCTGATATTGTTTGGATTAAATATTTATGTTTGAAGGGACAGTTAACTGATTCCTGTTTTACTACCAATAAAAATCCAATAAATGGCTATTTAGTCTGGGGGTAGCAGTCTGGGGGTGAGCATGAAGACAGGTACCATGAGCATGACCCAGTAAACAAAACCCTAGCCAAACTAAAGGTTAATGGTTTTTATTTATGTCTGATAAACTTGTTGTTTTGATATGGAATTCTCTTAGTTTCTACAAATCCAACTTCAAAATTGTGTAAACAATAAAAAAGCACATTCAACGCAGAGCAAACTGAACTGTGACCGGAATAAGTATATTTGGGATACACCTGAAGTAATAAATTTAATGGGACAGTGAAGATGTGGATAAGCATAAGAGCAGTTAGTCCCTCTCAAAACCCCTCAGGTTTTGTCCTACATAAAGGAGACGAGGCTGAGGAGGGAAGAAAAGAAAAGTGGGCCTGCAGGAAGTGGCTTTTGACCCCAGAGGATCTCTGGGATAGTAGAAGTTGTATAAAGAAAAGAAATAAAGTTGGAAAACAGTGTTCAAAGAGGGCTTTAGGCAGTGGCCAGGGCTGTGCAAGCCCGGTAACGAAACAGGGTTCAGGCTTGACTGCGGCACTATCTTTGGCACTCAGGGATGGATCATGCTTTTCAAATCCTTGGCCAGACACCAGCAACCTCATCAGTAGGGAGTGGCAGCAGGTTTCTGCTTTCAAACAGTATTGCTGGCAGTGGAGATGGTCAGAGATAGATGCACCCATGAGTATAACAGCCATATTTGGGTTGTTCATAATATGAATACTTTGAGATTTCCTACAAGTAATAATAAAACATTATAATAGGAGAGTTAGTGGATTACTTGAACTGCAATCTTACGCTTAAAGGCAACCTAGTAAACCAGAGGTTGGTAAATATCCATTTTCTACAATTTCCTCTGTGTGTGTGTCTGTGTGTGTGTGTGTGTGTGATTTATGCATGCAGAGATAAGAGAGTCTGTGGCATGTCCTGCTCAATATTCTTCACCCTATTCCACTAAGACAGGTTCTGAACCTGGACCTTGGTCAGTGGCCAGGAAGCCCCAGAGAACCTCTTATCTCCACCATACAACGACACTGGGTTGCAAGCCCATGCATAGCCATGCTCTGTTATTTACATCAGTCCTGGGTTCTGAACTCACGTCCTCACAGTAGTGCAACTAGCCTCTTACTTCATGAGCACTCTCCCAGTCCCAACATTTTTCTTAGACGTGTGTGCAGACTTAGTTGGTATGACCCCAAGAAGATCGGATCCTTCTTCTCAAATTACTCATAGCCATCTAGAAGAGACAAGACTGGGCAGAGAATCTCAACATGCTGTGTGAAAATTCATGATGGAAACATGAGCGACAAGCCGAATTCATTGCTAGTGTTACCCTCATTTTATTATTAATTAACAAACATCCACTGAGCATCTACTGTTTGCTGGTTGCAACGCTAACTGCTTCATAGACCTTCTTAAGTGTCTCCTAACAACTCTGAGAGACCCTTCACATAGTTAAAACAGCATACACACAAGGATGAAGGAACCTGATATTGAGATGATGTGGGTAGAAAGCAGTGTCCAAATTAGACCCAAGAGCAGAATTCAGGTTGTCTTTCTGCGAGCAAGCAAGGAATAAAAGTCTTAGCAGTAACAACTACGTCAAACAGCATTCATGACTCATGGCCTTCAGTGCACTGGACACTCCGCAGATTGAGACTCTCAAACAGAGTCAGGACAGACATTTAATTTAGTATTTGAGAAAGAGGGGGATAGGCTGAGCCATCACAGAAAAAAAGAATCCCATCCAGACGTGAGCTTCACATCTGGCACCGTCTGGCACTGTCGGTACTAAAGTGCAAACTGGGTACCATCTGTCAGGAATATTGAAGAAACCCCTGTTCTTGGGGCAAGGTTCAGCATCACCTCTTGCTCTCCTTGGACTTGTCTGATGCTGAAATCTGAAAAGTGGGGTGTCGCTTAACTCTTCTTTAGCTAGCACTTAAATATCAATGTTTTCCTTCTTCTATTTCGCTCTCTCCTGCTCCTCTCTGCTTCATTAGAGGCTCGTAGTTGATTTTCTTCTCACAGTTTGGGGGCCCCACCACCCAGCTCCCAAATAACCACAAGGAGTCCTGTTCTCACTTATGAATGCCTGGCCTTAGCCTGGTTTATTTCTAGCCAACTTGTCTTAAATTATCCCGTCTACCTTTTGTCTCTGGGCTTTTATCATTCTCTAGTTTATGTATCTTTCTTTCCTTCTGACTCAGTGGCTCTCCTCCTTCTTCTCTCTTCTTCTCTTATTTATTCTCTCCACCTGCCAGTCCTTATTTCTCCCTTCTGCCTGACTATTGGCCATTTAACTCTTTATTTGACCAATCAGATGTTGTAGACAGACAGAGCAACACCACAGCTTTACAGAGTTAAACAAATGAAACATAAAAGAACGCAGCATATCTCTGCGTATCATTAAACAAATAGTCCACAGCACAAATGAATGTAACACATTTTAAGTTACTATTGCACAGCAGATGCTTGCTTTCACTATCATGTGTTTGCTGACAAGTTCTATGTTTGCACCGTGGCCCAGGTTCATTGTTGAGCCCAGAGCTATTTCTAGATATAAGATATCCAGAGTTGTTGTTGATCGCAGGAGTACCTGGTCCCGTTCAGCCTACATGACCAGAAATAAAGTATCTAGGGGAAAGAAAACATAGAGTTGTGCCAGATTAAAACCTTAAAAAACTTAAAGAACACTCTGATCATGTAGTAGAGGTTTAAAAAGTACAGTGTTTGAATTTTAGAGGCACAAGCGGGCTTGTGTTTGATTATCTGCAAGGGAAATGTAAACATCTAGGCTTTCCAGGAACAATATTTATGATAACATTACCATCTAAATGTCATTTTCCAATTTCAAACTTTTCCATCTAACTTACAGATGCTTGAAAAGATATACCTAGACTGACGGGACAGAATGCATAATTAGTGTTATAAAAAACAATAATGCATCTGGTAAGCTAAGTGGAGAGTGGAGGCAGGAAGATGTATGAATGGAAGAAGAACCTTCAATGTCCCCATCGCGCAGAATAAAAGTCAAGAGATAT